AAATGCATTAAACAGCACAGATATATTCGCTGTTTGTCATGTTCGACATTAAGGTCTGCTTAAGAATAAGCGTGCACAAATTAGTGAGATTGTGTGAATTGAATTTGTCGTTAATGGAACCGCTTTAGCCCCGATTGATTTGTTAGGTTATTTCAAGCCAGGTTTTGGACTTTAATCCCTGTTTTTCCTCGGGTCTCCGTGGTGTTGTGTTTCATCATATTCATGCAGCAGCGGTGATGAGAGAGCGCGCTTGAGAAACAGTTTCGAGAGGAGAAATCAATCTACGTAAAAAATATTGGTCACTTTCTAAATAATAAAAGTATAGCACATCCACTAGTAATTATATATAAATTAATCGGTTTTTACCGATGCAAATATGTTAGAAACGATGCATCGCGATATAAATGCCAACTTGTAGCCAATGCACACTTTTTAAACCGATGCATCGCATCGTTAACTTTTTATGCTGATGCACCGAGCGAATTGGGGAATCTTCCCATCCCTAGACTTCAGAGAATAATCATAGAATAATCAGCATATTACATGTTGGATATTCTTTGCAAATGATTAAATACTGCAATAGTATTATCAGTTATACTACCTTTGAAATGCTCCGTATTTGCATTTTTGAGGTCAAAAGGTCAATTACTTATTTTTTTTCAGCAAATCAAAACCAGTGCGTGACCAGTGCAGCCAGTCTGATTCCTGAACAGAGCATGTGAGCGAAGCGGAGCGGTGTGACGCTCCGCTAGGTTTTCCGCTCTATGGACGTGCGCTCCGCTCAGTCGCTCTAACCGCACAAGCAAGCGCTCCGTTAACATTCCGCTCACGTGCAACCGAATATAACCTTAGCCTACCTGTTTCATTTATGGTATGTAACTAGCTCACCTTTTGCGGCACCATGTTTGCGTAGCACATCCTCGTGCTTTCTGGCAATGTGCCGCTTCAGATTCCAATATGAATCTTTACTAACTCTCCCCGCACTCCCTCTCAGTTTCTTCTCCCTGCTCATTCTTAACTTAGATTTTTTACTTTACATTTATGTATAAGGCTTGCAACTTCGTTGAAACAATATCTGAACTCCATAACTGCTCTACTATTCTCGATCTGGAACAAGCTAATCACCAAACGGCATTCTGAGTTGAGCGAGCGGCGCTGAGCGTTTTGAGCGGAGCGGAATCTTCAGAAAGGCGCTCTGCGCTCTTAAGGAAATATTACCACTCCGCTCCCACTCCGCTCCGCTCACATGCTCTGTTCCTGAACAAATGATTATTTATCTTTTTTCTGAATCAAAAACAAAACAGTATTTGGCAACCAGTGTAGGTGATTCCCTAACATGTAACTGTTGACATGCATACAACTTGTGGTTCATGAGATTTAAATCTTGCACATTAGGAGTTTTGTCAGTAATATTTATGAAAATAAATAAATGAATAAAAATGTTACAACATGTTTGTTTAGTGTTATTGTTTATTATTTTAATTTTTGGGTTGCATTTTATGTCTTTTGCAAGAATTGTTTACTTTTTTAATGATCAAAATCAAATTTGCCAGTTATTCACATTACTATTTTTAAATATTTTTTTCCTTGACAGTACGAATGACAAATATGAATCGGAATATGAATACAAATTGTTAATTGTCACAATTTTTTGTCCTTTTCTACTTAAGGTCTGTTTGGAGCATACAGAAGTAAAGACATCTTCTCACAGTCATGAATAAAGAATTGATCCCTTGTTTGGGCTCCATAGTGTTTAATTTTTATTTTTGTCATCAGATAACAGAATCCAATAACTATTCATTGTAACACTTACCACAGTTCTTGTATGTCTGGATGTTCTGTCTTGTGAACTTAACCAAGCACGTGCAGAACACTTCAGACTGTGGCTTGGTTTTTGTAGTATTTGACTGAACGCCAGACCTAAGTGCCTTTGGCCACTCGAATAATAACAGCCTCAGGAATGAAGAGTATTGATGTAGCTTAAGTGTAATAATACACAACCTATTTTCCACAATTATAGAGCTAGTCACATTCAATTTAAGGGGAATAAAAACGAAACTTTGAGGGATAGCAGCACAGCACGTTCACTGTGGGTTGTACGTAGGTTGTCATTTGCGTCAAATGTACAGCGTCATTTTGGATCTGTGTGGCACTTAGGGTTGGGTATCGTTTGGGTTTTTTCTGATACCGGTGCCAAATCAATACTTTTAAAACAGTTCTGGTGCCTAAACTGTGCCTGAACCGATACTTAAAAAAATAAGATAAAATTACCCAAAATAGGCTGGATTGGCCATTATTGAGCGCTATAAACACATTTAATGTCTGTTTCATTCATACTAGAACATTCATACTAGCAGAAACTCCACATGAGCATCACAAAAATATATGGACAAATGCATTGCTATCACTGAGTAAACAGAAGATATAAACATTTAGAATAAGACAATAAACACTCGACTGCGACAATGTATAGTTTATCTGTGTTATTTAAGCCATCTTTGGTATTTTCATTTTTAATGATTAATTAATTCAATTATTTTCATAATTAAGTATATTAATAATCCATTGCTAATTGACATAGCTTTTTTACCATATGCTTTTTACAGTATAGAACGGTATCTACCTGCTGCCATCAGAGCAAATGTAATTACTGCATTCACGCGCTCCTCGTATGCTCTCATTTCCCGAGTTGTGCTTTTAAGTCAGAATGTGAAAACAACATGGACATTCGCATTGCTACAAAGATGTGTTGGATTTGTATTATTAGAGCTTTCCGACTGGCGTTCGTGAATTTTCTCAGTCGGGAAATTATTTTTCACGTGCGGTGCCAGTGATCCTTACGTCCGTTTCGGAGAACCAGAGAACAAATATTTCAATCGATCGCTCAAGCATTGGTGGCACCAAAATGAGGCACCAAAATCTGCATTCTGATTCGGTTCTAGTACATACCGGTTACATACGGGTTTCGGTACCCAACCCTAGTAGCACTGCCGTCCCACATCATCAACCCTACGTACACACTCTCATTATTTGTTTATCTGGATTTGGCTGGGAATTTATCACATACTTTGAATATTTTCCGATTTTTCTGTTATTTTCCTGGAACCTGTCCCAATCTGACAAGGGAAAAGAGCATCCCACTCTTCCGTCTTCGCCTGCCAGCGCTCCAGATTTCCTGCCTTCTATTGTGGCTGCAGCGGGATGCTAACATCCTGGTTCAAGCCCTGAGGTCAATCCAACACTCTCTGTATAGCTCTGTCTTTCATTCTCACTGTCCCTCTGGCACTCATTCCTTCTCCCTTCACTCTTTATCGTCTGTTTCCACCCACTCACATTATCGCTTTTGCCTAACCGTGAGTCAAAAGCTGTCTAACGCTAGTCTTTGTGGAGTAGTTTCCCAACTCTTTCTTTCATCTCTGTTCCTGACTTTCCTCTGTTGCTCTTCCTCGTCTATCTCCTGCCAGGCCACCATTTGTGATCCAGCCTCACTGTTTGAACTTGAGCACCAACACAGCAGCTTTACTCACAGTCTGATGCCTCGTTCTCTCCTATCTTATTACCGCTATCCAGGAGAGCCGCGTCTTTAGCAGCATCTATCCATTGCATGCACTTTCATTTTCATTTACATTTAGAGATTTTTATCCAAAGGCACTTTCATTGCATTCAAGGTGCACATTTTAATTTTTTCAGTTCTTGCTGGGAATCTGGGAATCGAACCCATGACCTAGCGTTGCTAGCACCATGCTCTACCATTTGACCTAGTGTTGTCAAAACGTCTGATGTTTGACAATGATAACCATAGCAGCAGATGGGACAAAAATGTTGATATGTCAAAATAGATCTGTGCATTAAGTCTTGCAAAGTGCAATAGACCTGCAACTTTTTCTTTTTCTTTTACTTTTGATTTGATCTTTTCATTGCAATGTTTGCATAACTGAACAATATTTGAAGCCTACATTGTTTTATTCTATATTTTACTTAAAATTAAAAATCATTATAGGTAACACTTTATTTTAAGGTGTCCTTGTTACACATCTTACATGTACGTACTATTATAATAACAGTAAATTATGCACAATTACATGCAAGTAACCCTAAGCCTAATCTTAACCCTAACCATATAGTGCATGTAGTTAATTTATATTACTTGGTACTTAAATGTATGATTACACTGTAACAAGGACACTGTAAAATAAAGTGTAACATTATTATATTATGTATAATTAACTGATTTAATTTATTTAATGTTTGTATTTTCAAATGGGTAAATGATAACTGTTAAAATAGTTATATAATAGTTTTTGGCACCAACTGCTGAAATTTGGGCACCGTGACACTAGTTTGAGCTACAGGAAAGTCGCTGTGCTTCTGAAATCTTGATTATTTTGCTGTGCAGGAGTACACATTTTCAAATTGATTTAATTCAAACACTTGATTCGATTCAAATCCAATTCAAAAGCTTTGATTTTTACTTTTTTGCATCACATTCAATACAGATTCATACTTACAACTGATTGTAAATAATTTCTTTTGCTGTGGCACTTAATTGTGGCAGCATGGATTCAGCAGCAGGACATTTAGTCAGCTACAGGATATTATCCAGGTTTATATATTAGGATATTTTTTGTAACAGAATGGAGGGGCTTTTTGAAGGGCACTGAGGCAGTCAGTGGTGTTTCCTGCCTTCTGATGAGAGGATGTACTATCTGAAGTGGCACATTCTGCATATGATCGGCACACTAGCCCATTTGCACAATGACGTACCATAACAGCCTCATACTGCATTCCAGTAAGCCCTGTCAAAACAATGAAAAGTGTTTGAAATGAATTTCAACAATCCTAAATTAAATTCCTGTGATTTATCTCTGTGCATATGATGTCATCTCTTATGGTAACCAAAATTGAGTGGTTGTTTTTGTGCCGACTGCATGTTCTGGTAATGCCAGGCTCTTGTAGAGTCAAGTCTGACAGCGTTTTTTTTTTTTTTTGTGCTTTTACAGTTCTGCCAGCCTGGTGGATGGAGACTGTCCCGTGAGAGGAAACTCCCGACATTCTTCACAGTGGTGCTGACAGACATAGACTCAGAACGACACTTCTGCTCCTGTCTGACCTTCTTTGAGGCAGAGGTCAACCTGCAGGTGAGATTAAGGCCATGTTTTTATTGCAAGGTCTAGTTAGGGGTCCAGGCATCTCTGCTGTTGTATTTGTATTGACTTTCTTTCTTCTTTATTATTTTCTTAACTTAAAAAAGTCCAGGTGTCAGAGACCATAAACACAACATACCAACATTTATTTTTTTTCAGAATTATTTTGCAATATATATATTTTTTTGGTCTATCCTTTGTCCATATCACACATTTGAAATACACCATCATTTAGCAGACATTGGCCAATTAAATTTTAGGCTATTCAGGCATTGTAACCAATCACAGCCATTTCCATTGCACACTTGAAGGAAATTGAATCAGGAGCATTAAATTGTCAATTAAATGCTCACAGTGTCATGGCAAAGCCAAACTTTTCACAGGTCTTTATGGCCTCAGAAAGACCAGAGTACTTTTAACATAAAATAAAATAAGATATTTGGGACGAGATTGTATGTATCTCAATCAGTCAACCATATTGAGAACCTTTTAGTAATGGCAGCTGCGATCAGGATGGGGCAAAATTTACTGCTGCATCCTAAAGTTCACTGTCCAGTGGAGAAGGAAAGAAGAGTAACTGAAAGACACTGGGGTTGGAGGACAGCCATGTAAAGAATGCAGCTGTAATTTCTGACTATTGCCCAGCGCCCATCATTTATACTTACGCCTGGCTCCACTTCGCGAGCCTCCGCTGACTGCGCGCGCACCTTCCCAAATGGATGAGGCTTTTATAATTGTCGCGTTCACCGTTGTACTATTCTTTGAAACAACAGGGGGCGACGAGGAGTACTTGTCCTCTAAAACCATCGGGAATCACCGGTGAGAAGAAGTCATTTGCCGGTACAAGATTTCCCACGTGATGAATTAATAATTTCTTTATGTACAAACTGATTAAAATAATCTTAAGATTTTGTGTTTATTTCGCATCAAACACAAGACAACTTTAAGCAAATAGTGTATAAATAGTATCTAAATGAATTCTATTTCTATTTTTATACAATAAAAAATAAATGTACTTCAATTAAAAAGCATTGGACAAACTATGCAAAAAAAAAAAAAACAACAACTTTGCATTGTTTTCCCTCAAAGCGTTAAAAGTTGCACCTGGTGGAGTTTAAACTTAACATCAAACTGCTTCTGTTTCACACAAATGCCAGCACAGACGTGCATGTTCGGCTAGAGTCGATTTGAACTCGTGCATCTTCGGAAGTGGAGCTGCATGGAAAGTTACAAAAAATGTTGTGCATACCGCCACGCGAAATGAGCGAACTTGCGGATGCATTGAGTATAAACCAGCCTTCAGTCCCTTCCAGTGATAATGAGGCTAGAGGAACAGCTTCTGTAGAAGATTTTAAGTTGTCCCACATTGTGAGAGGAAAAACATTGTGCATCCACATTTCTTCCCTATGTTGAGTTGTTTCAGCACAAAGTGGAAGTCCTGGAGTGCAAGTAACCAGTGCACCAGTGCCTTTGACTGAGATAATCTACTGTATTAGGGCAAGATTGGCAATAAGTGTCAAGTTTTGGCCAAGCAGGTAGTATCACAACTCCAGGCTGCTTAATCGCAAATGCTTTGCTCTATAATCTGGCAAACCAATGCGGGCTGTTAAAGGCACGCTGATGCCTGTTTCTGATGTATCCATTTTCGGGATAAATACCAGAATATAGTCTCTGAGTAGAATATAGGTTATTCAAGTCAATTGATTGTTCTGCAGATACAAGCCAATACATTTTTGCCAATAGGCCTATATTGACTAATGGACCTACATCTTCTGAATGTCCAAATAAGTTACACATGGACACCAGGTTGTTAGGAGAATGCATGCCAAGTTTCACCCATAGAGGGATGCTGTAACAAGGGGAATCTTGTAAAAACCGTTGGAGTAAGGAAGTTAAAATTTGACACGCTTTTTCTTTGCTAAAAGTGCTAATATACTGCAGTATCAGTTGGACAGATGAACAAGAACGATTGCTGGCGGCCTATTAAATTTTATCAGCCATGTGTATTTCTTGCAGACCTCACTACAGATCAGTATAACCGGCTTCAAACTTCTCAGCATCTTTTGAGATAAACTGTTGGACACCAACTGGATCAACAGCATCTGTTCTGCCAGTTTGCCAATTTGCAGTCTTATTCCAACTGCATGGACTGTTTTTATTGCCATGTTTGGCTATATTTATATTTATAAGTGTTTGCCAGTCATTTACTTCTGCAGTCACAGAGCATGAAGTGTAACAGTCATTAATTACACTGCATCCTGCTTACCAGGTCTTACAGGATGCTGGATTGTTATGAGTATATCATCATATCAACTGTCATTCTGATAGCACACATCGATTTTAATGAGCACAGCTGTGCGACCCTACTGTTATCCAAAAGCACTTTTTTGGATTTTATTAGGAGCCAAGTGTAGAAGGTGTGTAGCCCCTGTTGTTTAAATTGGCATATTGTTCTGCTTCCTCTGGCTAGGAGTCTATGGCAGCACCTAGATCTGTTTGGAGGAAAGTTGTAATTTCAGCATATTCGTATTGAATTTTTTTTGTTGCCACTACTGTTACAGTGTTTGGCCACTACTGTTACAGTGTTCTGTCCAATGCAGTGCAGTGATGTGGGACAGGTTTGGTCTAGTATCCCAAAGGTTGTAGGTTTAAATCCCACTTAAGGTCATTTCAGAGTTGTATCTCTGTTGTCCTTTGGCTCTTGGCATCATACTTACAGTACATATATTGCTGCCTCCATCTATATTTCTCCTCAGTGCTTTGCACTTCATTAGTTTTTGTGTGTCATGTCAATAAATTTTGCCACATTCATGCTTACTGTGCCTAAAAGTTTTTTCAATAGATGATGGTGAGATTCCGAGCAGCTTCACGATGTGCATTAGCCAAGCTACTCAGTTCAAGTTCATTCCACTGTAGACAAATGCAATGCTGCTGTTGTTTTTAAGGAGAAAAATTCAGGGATGCCTTCAAAAGAGTGGTGAATGCTCAAGGAAATTGGCTCTACAGCTTTGAATCATTTAGAATGTCGCAACAGGCTCTTGTTCCCCAGAAAGCAAGTCAGATGGGAACCATCACTCTTGTAGAGACCACTGAATGACATTTGCCTTTTTTTGAGAGTTTAATTATCAGCCAGTTCCAAGTGTCACCAAAACACTCTAGAGAATTCAGGGCCTAAATGTCATTTTGGAAAATGGGGGGAATTCCTCCGTATCCATGTAGTGATGTGACTCCATTTATTGCAGTATGTTGAGAGAAACATGCATACACTCTTAAAAATAAAGGTGCTTCACGATGCCATAGAAGAACCTTTTTGTCTAAATGGTTCCATAAAGAACCTTTAACATCTGAAGAACCTTTCTGTTTGACAAAAGGTTCTTTGTGGTGAAAAAAGAGTTCTTCAGATTATAAAAAGGTAATAAATAAATGGTTCTTTAAAGAACCTTTGACTGAATGGTTCTTTGTGGAACCAAAAATGATTCTTCTATGGCATCGCTTGAAGAACCTTTTGAAGCACCTTTATTTTTAAGAGTATACTGTTCATCTGTGTTGATTAATTTACTCATTCAACCTTCATAGTGAATAAATGTTTGTGGGATTTCCCTGCATTATAAGCGGGAAAATTATTTGCAATAATCGCAATCCTGTGCTGAAATTGAGGCCCTGGAATGTATTCTTTTAGTTTTTTTACCTGTGGAAATTATGACGTAATCATGATGAGAACCAGTTCATCACATCCCGACATTCCACATCTATTGAGAGCGGCATCCTAGTACCGGCAATGTGGCATTTTGTGTAATTAACTTAATTCAGTATTCAGGATGTGGTGGTCATCATGACTTAAACGAAGCATTTCAATGCTGTGAGTCACATTAATTTGTTAAGCTGGCCACTTACCGTTCAAATGCATAGAAGGTTAATTCTGCAGATTCACTATGAATCAGTCCGTTTACCACAAGCATCTACTTGGATGGCAGCATGCAGACTTACTGTCAACTTCCTGTTGCTTTCCTGGCTGAGTACAAATAAACCAAATCATGACAGGATAAAGAATGTGTAATTAAATGGTCAATAAAAGCAGGAATTATTTGCCTTTAGAGGCTGGTGGTTCCAGAAGGTTACAAAACTGTTTGGCACATCATGTCTTTGAGCTTTGATGGCCCCCAGCTGTCGGCTGGCGCTGTTCTCCTCTATGCGCTGTATGTCCACTGTCTCTCTATTGCTTTCGGTCTCTCAATTTCACAGTGAGACTGTTAATCTTCTCTATTTATATTGCGTCTTTTACTACTGAGCCTCGTGGGAGATTGAGAGAGAAGGCCACCCATGAAGAGTACTTCACTGTGTCATCAGGCACATTAAGACTGAAGCATCGTTCTTAATCACAGGCTCAGTGTCTTAAGGTCTCCAGAAAGGTCCTTTCAATTTGTCTGCTTTTGTCTCATCCTCACTGTTTTTCTTTGATGCGCTTATCCAGAGGTTCGTAATGCAGGGTGACTTCTTTCACGTAATGACCATGATAGCCCATTATCTTATTATGCTGTATGTCTCTCGACTGTTTTCCTTACATCAGTTTTTTTAGGAATGACTAGATGCTAGACGGTCTTTTGACCCAGCGAACTGCCTCCAAATTCCTATACTATTTAACCTAAACAATATTCAAAATTAGAGTTAGTGAGTCCCAACTTGTAGTATGTTGAAGTAAATATCCCAAATGTATCCAGATTGGTCTACTATTTCCATTGGAAGTTCGAAGTGTGGATCCGTGCACACTCTAAAAGCGAATAATATAACAATGCATTACGCTTTTGAGGAGGATTTGGGTCAGACTTACAAGCACAAATAAAAAGTGCCTAAAAAAAATACACATAACTATACAATAGTGTGGTTCATTAAAAATGCAATTATCACAAAAAGAGTACTCTTGGTCTGTTTAGTACAGTTAAAGGGTTAAAGTCATTGAGTTAAAGTCATTGAAAGTGCGAAATTCTCTCCATTCCATTTCACACTATTTAATAGGCTTGTTTTTATACGTTCATTGTTTTTAACGCATCTGCAGGGACCCAGCATTTCAGGTGTTGTGTACTTGCCTAAAGCTACACCATTAACCCACTTAATGTAAAAATCATGACACACTAAAATATTTTTTTCTTTTATCAGATTGGTAGAGGCAGCACTGGAATGTATTGTTCTTCATAATTGAACCAAATCCTCCCAATAATGTTGAAATGTGTTTCCCATCTGTAGGGGTATTTTAATCCTGTGCTCCCACTGATAAGATGTGGTGGATCTTGTGACATGTTTTCACTGTCTGAGCAAATCAAATGGGCTCCAGCACAGGGGGTTAGACGGCAGAGTTTGAGAGGTGGGCATCGTTATGAGCTTGCATGTCTGACGCAGACTCAAACGAGACAATTAGGAGCAGATTGTGAGCAGTGGGACGTGACTTGGGCAAAACCTCTCCTTATCTTTGTAAGATAATGAAGTCTCCATGTTGTTATGAATAGGTCACCCAAAAATTTAAATTTGCAGAAAATGTACTCACCCTCAGGCCATCCAAGATGTAGAGAAGTGTGTTTCTTCTTCAGAACAAATTAGCATTACATCACTTGCTCACCAATGAATCCTCTGCAGTGAATGGGTGCCGTCAGAATGAGAGTCCAAGCAGCTGATTAAAAACATCACTGTGATCCACAAGTAATCCACATGACTAAAGTGTATCATTTAATGTCTTGTGAAGTGAAAAACTGTGTTTGTATGAAACAAATCAATCATTAAAGCGTTTTATCTTTAAACTGTTGCTTCTAGCCAAAATTATGGTCCATAATCCATACTAATGCTTCTTCCAGTGAAAAGGTCCATCCCCCTCACATCAAAGTCCACTGACATATTTGTATACAACTGTTTTCATCTGAATCAGGAGAGAAATATGCACAGATCAAGCAAAGTGTTTACAAACAAAAACAGTCTAAAGCAGTTCTAAACAAATATGTTAGATTTTGATGTGAGAGGACAATAGGGGATGGATTTTTTCACTGGAGGAAGTGTTATTATGGATTATAATGGTGTTGGTTTAAAGTTAAAAATGTCTTTGTATTTGTTTCTTACAAGCACACAGCTTTTCACTTCACATTTCACTTTCACAAGACATTAATTGATGGACTGTAGCTGTGTGAATTGTGGATTATTGTGTTATGAATTATGTTATTATTGGTACTATCAACACACAGGAAAAACCTGCAAACCCTCATAACCTTCAAAAGTAGCAGTAGCTTTTCTAAAATAACAAGTAATTTGACTTTTTATAACTAAGCAAAGTTAGTTTATGTTGTAAATTATTGTGATGTGACTCCCCAAAAATCTTTTAATGCTTTTCACTTCATTATTACACCACTTAAGATTTTGTCTTTGTGTGTAATCTTGTTGAAAATGGTTCTTGTGGAAAATGAAATCTAAACCAAATGAATACAAAGAGTAAATTTCTAATAACCCTTAAACTGATTTAATTTTGATATGTAGTTTGTGACCTACTACATTTTTGCCATAAATTTATATTTTATCATTGACTTAATCCTCCCGTTGTCCCATAAACTCAGTTTGGGTTGTGCATGTTGTAATTACTGTGATTTATTTTTTTGCTGATTGCATCTTTGGACGTGATTATTTAGGAAATAAAATTTTTCCCAGTACTCATATGGAGACAATTTACACACATTTAATTCCTACACTAAAGTAGGACTTGTAATGTGAGCCTAAACGAGTTCAAATAGTATCTCGGCCCTTGGGACAAGACCCCTGCACAAAACAAACCCAAAACCTAGCCAGTTTCCAAAAGCAAAATCTATAAATAGACAAGCACTTCAGTTTTACTCCAGGTTCCCTTTGTGGTTTCATAACAGCCAGCATGGGTCACTCCTTTATTCATCATGCGAGCCTATGTTAACTTTCTCCATCCTTTGCGACACTAACTCTGTCAACGCGCTGTCACACTTTCGTCTGATAGGTATGCAGGACCCCCTAACTTAATTTGCTCCTGTTATCGTTTTCACTTGCTTGTTGAAAAAAAGGCAGCGCTGTTCGGCTGACCTCATGACCATTATCACATTTGATGTATTGAAGTGCTGTGCTGTTTTTAGTTTCTTTGTGGAAACCAGATCGAGCCTGAATACCGAGCGACAGTCACTTTATACAGACTAAGCTTGTCTACATAAGCTCAGCTTTATCAGTGATTCGGAGAACATGTAATCGTGTGATCTTTATGCATTATTTTCTAGTGCTCTCTCAACTCCGATATTTATCAGTGGTGAATAACAAAGAATTAGGAAACAGAGCCCTGCAATCCCCCATCAGACACTCTGTCCATCTCCGCTGAGGACACAGAGGATTTTCGGTGTTCGCTCTTTGCTGTTCTTTTTCCACTGGTCAGGCAGTAAACAACTCATCCACTCGTAGAGCACTACCTTTGGTCGCAAATCTAAATAAACTTGAAATGATGCTCTGTGAGAGAAGAATTTTAGATTCTTAAATACATGGGATGACAAGGACAATAAACAAGACACACCTGAACCAAATGACACAATCAAACATGAGGGAAAACGAGGTCACGGAGCACATGAGGGATGAAAACACAACAAAAACAGTCCAGGGGTGTGACAGATCGCCCCCCTCCCGGAAGGTGATCCGGAGGGCCAAGGCGGAGCAGACGGCTCCGGTGACCGAGGCGGAGGTGGGGATCTGGAGCGACAGAGGACCAAGGTGGAGCTGGAGGGAAGGAGGAGCCTGACAGAGCCAGAGGGACAGAGACGAGGTGTAGCCGGAGGAGTGAAGTTCCGAGGTGGCGGATGGTCGACGACAGACCAAGGCGGAGCTGGAGGGACGATGGAGCTGGTGGACTGACGGGCCATGGCGGAGAAGAGGGAGCTAGAAGCCATGGTGGAGCCGCTGGGTCAAAGGGCCGAGGCAGAGTCCGGGACTCAGAGGCTGGAGGCGGAGACAAGGGATTCTCCAGCCATGACGCCGATGGAGACTGGCAGACCCGCGGCAATCCCACCGCACAGATGGTGAGCAGAGGGGCTGCCAGGAAGCAGCGGTGGTGGAGCTGAAGAAACCGGGATGACAGGAGGAGGCAGGAGAGGGAGGGTTGGTGGGTGGGAGGGCAGACAGAGAGTTCAGACGAAGGGCGGGAGAAGAGCGGGCATGTCTGCATGTATATCCGAATTTGAATCCATTGAGCTCGGCTCACCCTCAGCCATGGTGCAGTGGGTGGAGCTTCCCTCCGCACTCTCGCTGTTCATAGCATTCTCCCCCGTGGCGAGCACTGTAGCCGGCACTCGCACCTGGTCTGACGTCACAGGCTCTGGCTCCGGGGCGATCCTCAGCACTGTCGCTCTCTCTGGCGATGACTCGTTGGTCGCGGCGGGCTCTGACTGTGTTCCAGATCAGGGGTTGACTAAGTTGGAGGGAGGCCATCATCCAGTGGTGTCTGGGGGGCTCGATGGCATGGTGAAGATTCGCCCCGATCCAGAACCGAGACTTCGGTGTTTCATCGTCAAATGGGCAGGACGCGGCGAAAACACTGAAGTCCCTGGCGAAGTTGAGTAGGTCAGGCTTAGCATGGGCAATGGAGATGAGTTGGGAGGCGTAATAATCCATGACAAAAAAACAAAAACTGGTAAAAATTTCGAGGACTTCTCTATTTCTAGGTCCGGTCTTCTGTCACATCTACGGTGGAATGAAACGCACAAGGAAGATAATGAGCAATGCAAAAATCTTTAATGTCCCCCTGTGGTGAAAATCAAGTTTTTTTATGTTGTTTATTTGTCTATGTGGTGTTCTTCATATGCTTTAAGACAAACCATGTGCTCTCCATACAACTGTAGTTTCCCAAAGGCAATCACAGAAACGCGGTTTGAAACAGCCTTTTTTTTACGTCACAAAATTTAATAACCAATCGTGTCAAGAGATCCTATCCTTAGCATATCATTAACTGTGCTACAAAGCAGAGGGACTAGTGAGAAGGCAGCCAGGTTAGTCCGGTAACAGTTATATTTTTTCTATAGATGTTTCGCCGACTGTTAATATTTCCCCCTATTTTCACGATGGCATGTGCTGTTAGCGCTTATTTATTTGTATTTAGAACCACTAACTTGAATAATAACCCGCGGCAGCAGTGTAAAAGTAGCCCGGAGTCAGACGCTCCTCTCCCGCATTGGCATCCGCACGTCACAGGCGTATGATCGTGGGCGCGATTTGGAATCACAAACTTGGCTGCATTTGAGTCTTCAAGGCATTTTGAGGACACACCATACAGTATCCACTGTAGTTGTCTGCTAGTAAAAACGGTTACTGTCACGAAGTTAGCCATCAGTCTCCTTGCTTATGTTGAGCATGCCAGCTTATTTCTGGTTCAAACACATATGGCTTAATTAAACCAATATTTCCTCTTGCCATTGCCATTGTATCGCGTTTACTACAGTTCAGTTAGTGAATCAGCAGGCGCTGGCTCATGGCTGGCTGGTGTGTGACTGAGTGGAGGCGGGGCTAGTTTGCGTATTCATAGATCTGCGTATAGTAAATGAGGCAAGGGTGTAGAGTTGCATTCAAGCTATTTTAAGGCATGAGAAAATTATTTTCACAAGAAAAAACATTTAAATATGTCGTTTTGATGATCAAAGATGAGTTTTAAAGGATAACATTTTTGACAACAGGGAAACTTTAATAATCCACAAGAGGGTAGATACAGGACGGACAGGCAGGATGCACACATAGGGACAAAGTAGACCGGACAAACACAGACTGCACAGACTAGGGCTTAAATACATAGGATGACGAGGACAATAAACAAGACACACCTGAACCAAATGACACAATCAAACATGAGGGAAAACTAGGTCTCGGAGCACATGAGGGATGAAAACACAACAAAAACCATCCAGGGGTGTGACAGTTGTCACAGAAGAACCACAGAAGTGACTTGTAAGTGTATTTTCAGACATTTAATGAGGCTTAGAGGTGGCACAAGTGCAATTAAATTCATGTTGAGGTTAATGTTTTAAATATAAAATTTTTAATATAGAAATATTAAATGATTTAAATAACAGAAAAGATACTTTAAAAATTAAACTAAAACTGCCAGTAGGTGGCGGCAAGTCACTGATTTTATCACTGAATCATTCATTCAATTGATTCGTTCGAACGGCTAATTCATTCAGGAATGAAGTAAACGGCTCTCTTTATGATTGGGACTTTGATTCATTGGTTCACACAATTCCTTCAAAACGCAGAAACTAAACACCGCTGTGTTGCTAGGCAATTATGTTGTTGTCAGACAATATGTCACTTAATATTAACTTCTTGTTTAATGAGCTGTTGTATTAAATCAATATCACATTTGCAAACTCCCTTAATAATCATTAAAAGCTGTCCCTCATCTTAGTTCATCGCAATCTCACTAAACTCCATTATAATCAACGAAGTTCCTTACATGAATCTCTTATTTACACTTTGTTTGTTATAATGAGAGGATACGTCTGTGACATTACTCAATGCTGCAAAAACACGCAAGTACGTTAGAACCTTTGAAGCTCCCTCAGCGCAAACACAAATATGCTGATCTGGACAGTTGCACAGGTGCTCCTAAATATTTTTTCATAGTTGCACGCAGTACTTTTCAGTCACAAATGCGACTGAAATAGTCGCACTGTAGAGCCCTGCATTGCTGTATGTTGCTCGGAAAGGCATAATGATTCTGTCATAGCTTTGTTTGAAACTATTTTTGTTGGCGAAATGGAGCAAAACATTCAATATTGTGTCTGAAACGCAGTTTATTAACCTGTTGTATAAAACCAATGCCACATTTGCAATTTTGCAGATATTCAGGGAAAAATCACTCTCATGCATGTGTGATATTGCTAAACTATATCATATGATATAAATATGTAAGACAGATTTATAATATATAAGACAAAAACCCATACAGGGGCATTTTATTGCCCTTATATCCTGAACTTTAGGGGCAAATAACTGCATTCTAATAGGCTGCATGATGTTGTCAGTTGTTGTCCTACGTCATGTTCGTCAGCAACTGCATGCAGTGTAAGATGACGTACAGATCTGAGGCTAGTGCATTTACTGAATTAATAATTTTATTGTTATTTTTTTCCATAGTTGATCACACCTAATTAACATGTCAAATCGACAGCCTTAATACAAATGCATATATTGTAATGTTATAATTGCTATAATAGTAGTGTTATGATTGTTTTTTGATAACGCAAAGTCAATGCCTTTAAAGTGCCCCTATTATGGGTAATGAAAGGTTCAGATTTTGGTTTTGGGAGTCTCCAACAACAGGTTGACAGGTATGCAAGGTCAAAAAACACTTTTATTGTCTTATAATATACTTTTTTTTTTTACCTTGCTTGCTCAACGACTCCCAAATTATTCACTCAACGATTCTTTTTTCCAAACCCCTCCTTTGCGTGACGCTAATCTGCGGTGATTGGTCCGATTGGTCTCATTTTCATTTCATCATGCCTGTAATGCCTGATAAAGCAGCGTTTGTGAGCGCAGTGCTGCTTTGTGTACAGCGTTACCGGGGAAACAGCTATTTTTACTGCTCCAAAAGCTGCACCTAGTGGCAAAGAATGAATTAGTATTTTCATTCAGACTAACACGAAAAGACCAACAAGTGGGCGGGCAATATGCTAATTTTTCATGTTGATGTCAACATGAAACGGCTTGGGATTCGTTTTATAAAGGACTCGTTTCAATGATTCAGAGTCGACTCTTTCTTTTGAGAGACAATAACTTTATACTCGGTGCGCTTTCAGATTTAAAACTTTTTAGGATGTTTTCATTCACTTAGAGCTCTGTTACACACTGCATAGGAGCTCAAAAGCAGGAAATCCTCTCATCCAAAGTTTTATGCAGACTGCCTGTCTCAATGTTTTGTACTTTTGGCCTACATTCATGAATTTGGCATGAGCTATGCCTGGAAATAAGTTAGTTGAGCAGTATTGCTTGGTGAAAAACAAATGTTTATGGTCACAGACCATATCCCTTAGTTTCTCATTGTACCCATTTAAGAGGGCACTTCACTTTTATGCCCTGCTAGATAGATAGATAGATAGATAGATAGATAGATATAAATTACATTTAAATAGTTTGTTCTATGAACATGATTGCTACCTTAAATTGTTCATCTTGTATATAAGACTTGTCAGACTTATGATTTTCCCTTGAGCATACAATAAAAAAATCTTTAGAATTTCATTGTAGGAGGGACCAGAATATGGACTAATTGACTGTAATCATTCACTCAGAAAACCTTAAAAATCACCTAGAACACTAAAGCAACACCCTAGTAACCATGCAAAACACTATAGCAACATCCTAGCAACCACCCACAACACTAGCAACACCATAGCAACCACACATAACATTAGCAACGCCCTAGAAACCACTCAGAAAACCTTAAAAACCACCAAGAAAACTATAGCAACACCCTAGAAACCACTCATAACACTTGCCACACCCTAAAAACACTCAGAAAACCTTAAAAACCACCTAGAACACTAAAGCAACATCCTAGCAACCATGCAGAACATTGTAGCAACACCCTAGAAATCACTCACAAAACTAGCAACACCATAGCCACAACACATCACACTAGCAACACCCTAGAAACCACTCAGAAAACCTTAAAAATCACCTATGACACTATAGCAACAACCGAGCAACCACCCACAACACTGGCAACCCCATAGCAACCACACATAACACTGGCAACACCCTAGCAACCACACATAACACTAGCAACACCCTAGGAACCACTCAGAAATCCTTAATATTCACCCAGAACATTGTAGCAACACCCCAGCAACCACCCACAACACTAGCAACACCCTAGAAACCACCCAGAAAACCCTAAATCACCCAGAACAGTATAGCAACACCACAACATTCACCCAGAACATTCTAGCAAAACCCTAGAATCCACCACTCACATTGACTCTTGATTTTTTTTTGTCCAGAAGTGTTTCACGTGTGTTTGTGTGTCAGGGACTAGCTGATTTTTTTTGTTTTTTGCTTCTAGGGCTGCTTGGGTCTGATCTACACCGTGTACATTGACAGTCTGAGTGTCCCTCTGGAAGGGCTGGTGGCAAACCTCTTCACGTGCTTGATCCCAGTGGCTGGAGGTTCCCAGGTCAGACATTACTTAACCAAAGAATTCCTCATCTGTCTCGAACCCTGACCCCTGTGGTTACTCGAGCGCACAGAGGGTTAGCCAGGGTTCATTTTTGTACCTGTGTACCTTGAAGAAAGCAGGGTGTCTCATATTGCATTTTGTTTTCACTGGAGATTCCCAAGAGGTAGAAAGGGCTTTAGGGGTCAGTGAGAGAAGCCCGTTGATTTGTTTAGAGCTAAAATATTACTAAATGTAGCTCTCATGTTCTGGTTTGAGCGCCACAGTTCTTCATTTTTGTGTCTCATTTTTCTTTTTGGTGTCTGATTCTCCTAAAACAGCAGATTTATCCCTAAAATTTATGTTTTCTCTTTAAACACGGTTTCTAAATCCACTCTTTATTGTACACTGCGCTCATATAAATCAAGCTAAATGAATAAATCAACAAATAGATATTGTTAAATGATCTATAAATTGGTTTCAAGGGAAATATATGAATGCAGACTGCAGAATTTTGCAGGCTGTCGTGTTGAAATCATGTTGTTTTTGATGTAATTCACCAATACATTTAAAAATTCCTCCAGAAACCATTATTTTTCCCAGCTGGATTGTGGCATCATGGTGATCAAACAGGGTGTAAGTTATAAACAGACCTCAGGAGAGGTATATATTCATCTTTCAGTGTGAGTCTAACTCCATCCGCTCCATCTGTTCATGAAACAGTCCATGTGCATCTTATTGGCTCTGTTTAATGCACGTCTGCTGTTTCTTACAATACAAGAGCCAAGATCTAAAAAAAAAAATAATAATAAAGTAAACCTGCTAAAATATAGAGAGCTGTCCACTTGTTCTATCGCTTCCAGAGGGTGTATGTATATACTATATATCATGAAAACATATTATATAAAATACAAATGTATATATACAATATATTAAATTATCAGATAACTCATAATTTAACTTCCCAGTTCACCCAATTATGGTGACTGAGCTGCAAGAACAGGTTATTTAGAGCTCTTTACAGTTACCAGCACATTAAGATTTGAGTGCCCATATTTCACAAATCAAACTTTATTTAGAGCTCAGCAACATGCCGTTGTTGAGTAACCCTTGCGAAAAGGTCACACAGGTCATTTATATAGAGTGTGTTTACAAATACAGTTGTAGAAACGGTCACACTTTAGTTCGGGGATCAATTCTCACTATTAGCTAACTTTTAACTATGACTTTTGCCCCAATAAACTTCTACTTTGCTGCTTATTAATAGTTAGTAAGTTGGCTGTTAGGTTTAGGTATGGGGTATGTGCTTTATAAGTACTAATAAACAGCCAATATGCTAGGAATATGCATGCTAGTAAGCAGTTAATAGTGAGAATTGGGCCTTAAAATAAAGTGTTACTGTAGAAACATGAAACCTTAATAACATTATAAGTGATTGTCAGTGAAACATAATCAAATTATTAATTAAAAATGTTTATTTTTAATATGCTTCAGTTGTGCTTTTTGTGTAGGTCCGAGCTATTATTTGGTATTCAATGTTAATGTATTTATCTTATGCATTTGTTCAAACCTGAAGGTTTGTGTTGATGTTTTCAGAAGCTCTTTTCACTGGGAGCGGGGGACCGGCAGCTCATTCAGACCCCACTCAATGACACTCTGCCAGTCAGTGGTAAAAGTGTAGCGCTCCTCTTCCAGCAGTTAGGTGGGTGTCTTTGACTTTTATTATGGCTAGGCCAATAGTAAACTGTATTCAGTGAATATTGTGTAGTATACTTCTTCCATGTCAGCTCTTAACTAGACACTTTTTTTTATTATTCCATATTTATGCAGACATCTCCTGTCCTTTATAGTTCCGCTTAATGTCCCTTCCTGTAAACATGTTTTTTTTTTGAGAGAACTCGTATGAGAATAATAGATGAGAACAGGCAATTGTAAAAAAAAATTGTACAATTTCTAGACAACTCAATTACAACTACAAACCTGCCTGATATTATATATATATGCTGTATACAGTGAATGTCCGCATATTAACAGTGGACATGTATATATGTATGTATGTGTATATGTATATATATATATATATATATATATATACTGTATATATATATACACACGCACGCACACACACACACACACACACACACACAGAATGGAATAACATGGGATGCAAAAAAGGTAATTGTGACTTTCAATTTTGAGAAAAAATGTCAGACTTGTGAGATAAAATGTTGCAATTACCTTTTTTATTTTTGTTTATTTTGTGTGGGGCGGAAAACAGCATTGTGAGATGTAAACACGAATTTGCAAGAAATAATTTAATATCTTAATTTTGAGAAAAAAGCCTGAATTACAGAATAAAAGTGCTCATAGCCAATATATATGTTTTTTTATTCTGTGGCTGAATCGTGTTCCATAAAACTACACCACAAAAACCTGATGTTCAGAATCTAATTCAAACCTGGAAATAAAGTTTTAGGATTCAGAAAAATTCCTAGGTCACAATCAATTTTGTGACAAGTAAAATCAAGTGATTTTGTGAACTCTTTGTACAGACTGTCAGAGATTTTGCTTCCATTAAAAAACAACCTGCTTTTTTAGATCATTTTCAAATCATGCTGGAGAACATGATCACCAGCATTACACAAACGTGTGCAGTTAATTTCAGTCATAAAATCAAACAGGAGACACGCCAAATACAAAAAAAAAAATTGTTCCATTTGACATTCAAAATGTGACATTCATGTTCCTTTTTCAGTTCAACTCTTTGACTCAAATCGATATGCTGATAATATAATTGCTAATTGTTAAAAGAATGAAGTATGTGAAGACATGTTGATAGATTTGTTTTCTGTTCTTGTATGAAAAATGTAAATTGTCCTGCGTGTTACTTGATGTAGCTCTGCTCTGATTAAGTCACATTGGCTGCACCTTTCGTTCTGTATGCAGAAGTACACCAAAACAACTTTTTCCACTCAGCAAGCTTTCACAGCCTATGAATGCAGTCAATGCACAGATGGTTTTTGAAAGGGTGCAGTGATCAGTCAAATGTGTCAGTTTTTGAAACACAAAAACAAAAAATAACTTTCAAGACATACACAGTTTTTATTTAGCGAGATGAAAATAAGTTGCTTATTTGAATGGTGTTGCATGGCAACCTTAAGTAGTGACCTGCAGAGGAATGTACTAATGGTGTGCGTGCTGTCCCATGTTCAGCTGGAGCACAAAGCATTTGGACAGATGTGCACGCATCACTTTGTAACAGATGCATTATGTCGTACTACTGTCCAGCTGCAAATCAGTCTTGGGCTAATTAACACCACATTCATGTCCTTAAGGCCTTTGTCAGCATGTAAGATTAGACTTTTCAAATTGAACAAACAGAGCACATGTTCTAAATCTAGCAAATAAAATCTGAGTATTTGATTCGGCACTCAGTATTTTCTTCACCTTGTGTTGAGCAACTGGTGAAAGGAGTTTTACCTTTTTCCCCATTTCCTGTCATATAATATTATCTGTGTTGTAATTATACTGTGCACTATTTTTAAGATTGGTCTTGATTTATTTTGGCAAGAATTTGACTTGAGCTATTCAACTTAGATGTGGGCTAATGTGGAGTTTTTCATTACAGTTCACTGAGGTTTTTCATTTTTTACGGATTTATGTAGATCTCTGATTAATGACACTCTTACTAAACAAACCCTTCAGAGTCTCTTTAGAAACCTGATGACCCTTAAAGCAGCGTGGGCTTTTTCTTTGACCACATGGCCGTCTCTAGAGCTTTGATATGAGCAACAGTCGCCTTGTCATCTTAAAGGGTGAATCTTACTAAGCCTGTCAAGATCATATTTCACTACAAAATCTGTCCCAAACAGGAAAAAGGACTTATGTGAAGAAAATTAAGAAAGATCCTTTTTTATATATATTTTTTTTTGCATTGGGACATTTTTTTCATTTGAGATAATTAAGAAAATGTCCAATCTGTCAATTCTCATAGCCTTAATATATA